AAAAAAAAAAAAGAAACAAAAAACAATGAGGCAGAGATTGATAGAAACAGAGCAAAAAAGAAAAACTGAGCTTTTTTTTTTTTAAAAGGCAATTTTTCTAATCCATTTCAGGTGCATTTAGATCTTGATCAGCATCATATATATATAATATACACATACCTTCACAATGGGATTATGTTGCTTGTTTTTATTTCTTAAATGCAAAATATTACCTTAAAGGGAGGTTGGGAAATTATGGATTAAGGAAGGCTATTTGTGACAAGAGCCATCACAAAGCCTCAAGATTAATCATTTCCAGGAACAAAGTGAAAATACCCCAGCAGGTCATCAACCATTCCTTTCAAATCCTGCAGAGGTGCAATGTGCTAGTCTTACAAGCATGCTTCACAAAGGAGAGGATATCCAAGAAAAACAGCAGTTCCAAGCCTCCAACAAAGTCCCCACAGTGAAATAGGCAGGGACAGTGGAGGTTCCACCAGAATCTTCTCTCTTGTCACTCCAGGGCCCCACAGAAGTGAGCTAGGCAGCAGAGTAGAGGAAAACTATAAGACTTCAGAAGGACAGAAAACCCACATTTGGCCAGGTGTGGTGGCACACACCTATAATCCCAGAGGCTTGGGAGGCTGAAACAGGAGGAATGTGAGTTCAAAGCCAGCTTCAGCAACTTATGGAGGCCCTAAGCAACTCAATGAGACCCTGTCTCTAAATAAAATACCAAAAAGGGCTGGGGATGTGGCTCAGTGTGTAGATGCCCCTAAGTTTAATCTCCAATTCTAAAAAAAAAAAAAAGAAAAAAAGAAAAAAAACAAAACCTGTATTTGAATACAATCTCTGCTACATATTAACTAAGATCTATGTAGACATTACCTCCTAATTCCCTATTATCCCACCTGCAAAATAGGATGAGTCCGTCTACTTTGTAGGGTTGTCTGTAGATATTAAAAAATACAAAGCAAGTTTCCTTTATCTAAATCCTCCTCCCCTACTTTTCTTAGCTCATCTCTGCTCACTGGTTTATATTAAAAGAGTCCATGAGGGGTACGAGAAAAATGATGTACAATTACTGCCCTACTTCCTCACTGTGCTACAATGGGAACAAATGAGATAATGTTGACATTAAAGCACTTTATACATTTTAAATCGATATAGAAAGGTTCACTGTGGTTACTATTGTGCTCCACAAACAGGATACTCCAATCCATTTTGATCTTTTTCCTTATTTGTTTCTCCCATCTATATTTCACATGGTGAACACTAAATCAATAACCAATTAATCAATAATCATAAAATCATCTACATTTCTTAGAACTCTTACTTGCTTCTGCAACTGATATTTTTCCCATAAGAAAAATTTATCAGAGGTTATTGTGAAGCAGGCATCCGGACAAGGAAGAAAGAGAAACGCAACATCAGTCCAGTTAAGCAAAGAGACAAAGAGGTGGTTTCCATATTGTATTACATAGTACACAGGACAATGACAGGCCAACAAGGAAGGGCATGACTACCTGGGGAGGTCGGGGAAGATTTACTGCAATGGTGTTAGAGCAAGTCCTCACCCAGAGTCAAAAGGAAGAGGTGGCACTGCAGGGAAGGAGTGCCAGGCATGAAGGCATGGAGGCCTGAGAGATCCATGCTCCTGGAGGGACAAGGGAAGTTCATGTCAGACTATTGATTCAACACACGGTCCTCTAGGCAGTGGGGAGCATGAACTTGAAGCTGCTGTCATATAGCTCCTGGTTCAGAAACGTCACTGTCATGAAAGGTTGGACACGTCCAGGGTGTCTACTCTGTGCTAGAAATTGGAATCACAGAGATGAAAAAGTCTCTCTGTCAAGAGACCTCTGGGCCGTGGGAAAGGATGCTCCCTGGCTCTTGGCAGTATGTGAGCAGCTGCTCCACAGGGGTGCGACTCAACCCCTGCACTGGTACCTAAGGCATCGTGCCAGGTCTGGGACCTGCACTTCACACCTGATGTGATAGTGAAGGTGCCTGCTCAGCTGCTTGGACCTACTGTTTGGTTTCTGTGGACTCTGGTGCCAGTCACAGATGGCCCACTTGCGCTTTCAGAGCTGTGCCCTCCAGCTCTCTGCCTTCCCTTGTGGACACAAGCCTGATGCCGTCTTTCTTTGACTGTCTATCTGCCTGGTGGCACCTGAAAGCATCTCTCAAAGTGAGTGGGCCTCTATTCCAAGCCTCTACCCCTTGCTCCCTGTACTGTAGCTGCAGTACAGGTGCAGCCATAACAATGCTATGTGTTCACTAAATCCTATGTCATTGTCATTTAAAACAATGTGGGTTTCTGGTCAATATGGACAAAGATAAAGATATCTTAGTGCAAATCTTTAAACTTGGTGCAGGTAGCCTGGAACAACAGAAATTTATTCTCTCACTTTTATAGATACCAGAAATCCAAAGTCCGATGTGACCAAGGCCATATTCCCTCCAAGGGCTCAAGAGGGAGAATCCTTCAGTTCCTGGTGGTTCCTGGCATTCCTTGTCATGAGTGGCAGTATAACTTCAATCTCTACTCTGTCTTCACCTGCCCTTGTGTATCTGTGTCAAAGCCTCCCTCCCCTTTCTCCAATAAAGACACCAGCTATTAGATTTAGGGCCTACTCTAAATCCAGAATGATTTCTTCTCAAGATCCTTTTGTAATTCTATGTATAAAGACCCTATTTCCAAATAAGTCTACATTTGAGGTTCCAGACAGACAAGAATTTGTCTGGGAGTCACGATTGAACCCAGGATGCCTCTCTTGCCACCTTGGAGGTCTCATGATCCAGATGGAGCAACAAAACATCATGTCTTCTGCCAGCCAGATCCCCAAGTAACTAGGTGAAATCCAGTTCCCCAATACTGACCCTCCTGGGTGTGTAAGTTGAGCAGGAAATGAAACCTTGTGGTGGGAAGCCACTGAGATTTCAGGGTTAATTTGTTACAACAGCAGAGCCCAGCTGAGCTTGGCTACCTCTCCAAGCATGGTGCCCTAGCTCTGCAACTCAGGTGCTGTTTACAGGCCTAGGGCTAACACCAAGTGTTTTCATTTGGCTTCATTTTTTGCTCAAAAGCTCTTTTAGGTTGCTCTCGCTGAATGTCCTAGGAATTTCTCCCAGAGCTTTGCTTGGCTTCGATCTGCCTGTTTGGGAGGGTTCTTGTTTTCCCTGGGTAGTATAATTAGGCTTTTGCTGATAACATCACTGTTTTCTATACTGGTCCCCGAGGAGAATGTGGTAGCCAATGATAGTTAGCTTTTGCTTTTATTGGGGTGGGAGAGAGAGAGGAAAGGGGTTGAACATGAATGTTTTCCTGCTAAATTCATCCAAAAATGAACCAAGAAAAACAGTAGCCAGGGTCCCTTTCTTACACAAGTGGAAAGGTTTTTAGTTATGCTGCCTTTGGTTAAAATTTCCAGTGCTGCAAACTTCTTAGCTATGATACTTTGAAATGTTACATATTATCACAGAGCCCTAGTTCTCCCACCTTTGAAAAAAAATGAGTTAATGCCACCTTTCCTATGTGGCTATGATGATTAAATAATAAATCCACTTTTAGCTGTGTGCACTGATCACAGTAGTTCCCAGGTAAATATGAACTTCCTTTGTTCCTATAAACAAGCCAATATATTCCCTCTTGGATCTTCTTCCTCTCTGGGGCAAGGTAAGGGCTAAGTTGGTGTGAATCCATGATCTTCAGCACTGTTCTTGACTATCCTTGGTGCAGAAGCATTCTCTGGCTTTTGTCTGGTTTATTCTTTCAGATAGTACTAATCTATTCTTTGGAAACAAAAGCAAAACAGTGGATAGACTAACTAATCTCTTTAACCAAGTGAGATTTGCTCTTGAATATTTCATGAAAGTTCATTCTGATCCTAGAGTTTGACTGAAAGCTCTCTGAAAGTCAGGATTGTGTCTTATCCTGCCTCTATAAGTCCCACAGTCAGCATGATGCTAAAGTGACCATGTGTCCCCTGCCCCATAGTCACTGACCAACCACAGAGAAAGAAGGACTGGGTTGTTCCTATAGTTAAGACAGTATTTGGCCTCCAATAATGGATGTGCCAAATGAATGGGCAAGTACCAGTGAGCAGAGCAAAGAGAAGGTAGCAGAAGTCAAAACACTTCAGTAATTGATCACAAAGAGGGAAGATTCAACTCTACTCTGCAGATTTGCTGGGTCTGTCCAGAAACAGATCAACTTCATAGTCTGTTTACTATACCCTCCCTAGCTGGATCAGCAAAGTTTGCTCTTACAGTGTTGTAAATATTTAAATGACATGTTATTTATTGTATAGTATATATTAGATAATGTGTGTATTATAGATAAATATGTAATAGAGATCTACAGCACCTGCTTTGTGCTGGCACTATTATGCTTTACCTATAAATTAGCTAATTTAGTCTTCACAAGTATATAACATAGGTGCATTTTTGTTTTTGTAGTACAGGGGATTGAATCCAAGGCACTTTGCCACTGAGCTACATCCCCAGCCATTCTCATTTTTTATTTTGAAACCAAGTCTAAGTTGCCCAGGCTGATCTTGAACTTTTGATCCTCCTGCCTCATCCCCTCAAGCCGCCAGGATTTTAGGTGTGTGCCACAGCACCCAGCCCACATAGGTGCTAC